CCTCATCCAGCCACTGGGGACTCTGCTTAAAGATGTTCTGCTGTATCCTCCATATTTCTACCTGCTGGATGAACATTTACTTTGCCATCTGGCATGTCTGGAATTAGACTCATCACCTTCTCCTCCCTTCCTGTGTCCACGGTCAGTTTCCTTGAAAGCATCAGTTTTCCTTCAGCTCATTCTTTAAACCTCATGCTTTTTCACCTGCTCTGCTTCATTTCTTTTACCCCCTAAGTCATTGATGCCTGAGTAGTCTGTAGTCTCTAAGGTTCTGACCTTTGATTTAAGACAGCCCTAGCTTCTGGCCCTGGTTCTGCCACTTAATAGCTATGTTTCTTATGTAAATTACTTTCCTTCTCCATTTCCTTGTTTGTAAAAGGGGGTAATACTTGCCTTAGAGGGTAGTTGTAAGAATCAAATGGAATATCTAATGTGTCTAGAATGTTGTAAGTATTCAATACATGTCAATTAGTGCTACTATTGTTGTTAATTAAGAATATTCAGTCTTCCATATCCATTCCTTCCTTTGGTTGCCATCTAGTCTAAGCTTTGAGCCCTTCTCTCTTGCATTAGTGTCATAGCTTCTTTGCTGATTTTCTTGTTCTCCAACAATAACTATTAGTCTAACTATTGTCAGACTAATTTATTAAACTTTTTTTTATTAGCACACTCAAAAACCTTAGTAAATTCCTGTTGTCTGTCTCATCATCTAAACTCTGGGATCCCACTTTCCAGCCCCCGCTTATTTGTAGGAGCCTCTTTATAGAGTCTGCCTGCCTTCACCCTGATGTTCCCAACCCCATTTAAACTGTTTTGTGTACTATATCCAGGATGAGCCTTTCAAAACAGATTATGTCACGCTTGTACACACACACACACAACACAGAAAATCCTTCAAGGAACTCAGTATAAAATTCCAAAATCAGGTCCAACTCCTGCCCTTCTGTTCACCCTCATCTTGTATTACTCTTGCCCCTTGCTGTCTCCACATCAGCCACCAGGCCCTTCCTAACATGTGTTTATCTAGCATGCTGCTTCCTTCATAGTCTTGTACGTGCTTTTTGCTCTGCCTGTAATGTTCTTCTCACCCCATCTACTCATTCTTACAGCTATTGGCATAAATGTCACTTTTTCATGGAAGCCTTTGCTGACTAAGTCAAATCTATCTGCTACCTCCGAAAACCACAAACCTATCTTTCAATGCATTTAGAACAGTTGTAATTTTACATATATCTAGGTGGATATTTCACAGACATATTTCTCCCTAAGTAGTTAGCGAACTCCAAGAGTATAATCTTTGGCCATCAATGGGTTTTTTCATTGTTTGGATCTCTGCTTGGCACAAAATAATTGGTTAAAAATACTAAATTAATGAATGGAACTTGTTTTCCTCATTTCATCATGAATGCCCATATCTCTATAACATGGAATCATGTCATCTCCCTTTCATCACTTTTCCATTAATATGCAATGCCCAACCTTTACCTCCAAGTTCCCTCTACCTGGAACATACACTTTGATTGCTATGATTTACCTAAATTTATCCTTCAAAGATCAGCTCCAGTGTTTCTTCTACAGAACCTCTTTAAAAAACCATGCTAGTCTTCATGAAGGACCCTTCTTTTTGTAAGTTTACAAATCATCATTTCATTTCACAGTTCATGATTTATGATATCACCCTATTTTTTTACATTATTATCCTGTTTTCCTAGTCAGATTACAAGTCTCACAGAAACCAGATCATTTCTGCATCCTGCTCAGATCATAAACCATGCTGTCCAACATATACTAGGGGGCAAAAAATTGTTTGCCAAAACAATGTGTATATCTAGAAACGAAACTGCAAAAAGTAGTTCTGGGAAGTTCCTAGAATGAAAGTCAGTGTATCTGGGATTCATCACAAAATGAATTTTAGTCCTTGCCTTCATCTGTGTGCCAGCATCTCTAAAAATGTCCAGTTCTTAAGCTCAGTGAGACTACCAATGTGACATAAGCACTGGAAATCTCAAAACCTCCTCTCTTCGGGGTTTGAGATCAATGAAAAGGACTTGTCCTTGTCATCTTAAAATGGCAGTCTTGACCTCTCCAAGTCATAATTCACATAATTTTCTTTGAGGCTTTAAATATCTTTCTGTCTGTGAAATATTTAGAATTCCAAGGTATAAACTTAATAAGTTAAGTAAGCCTTTTCTAATTAGGATGAGATTTTAGGCAGCCAATTACTCTTATGCTAAACCATACGAAAAGTTCCATCTGAAGTCATTTGAAAGGTAATACCAGGAAATCATTTTCAGCATCACAAGACATTAAAAAGCTTAGTTGTAACCACCTACAAGCTGGGATATGAGATGTACAGAATGCTCAGGGCTACCTCCATGATACCTTACAGCACAGATGAGAAAATTATTAAGTGTGTGATTATCAGGGTCTCCTGTATTACCGTATTTATAATCTTACAATCTTGTCATATTACAAATGGGTTATATATTAGTCCGTTCTCAGGCTGCTTGAAGAAATACCCGAGACTGGGTAATTTATAAAGCAAAAAGGCTTGACTTACAGTTCCACATGGCTGGGTAGGCCTCAGGAAACTTACAATCATGGTGGAGGGCACTTCTTCACTGGGTGGTGGGAGAGACAATGAGTGCAAGCAGGGGAAATGCCAGACACTTATAAAACCATCAGATCTCGTGAGATCTCACACACTATCGTGAGAACAGTACTGGGGAAACCACCCCCATGATCCAATTACCTCAGTCATCAGTTATCACTGATAAGAATGGATATAATCACATATTTTTTTCCTTAGAGGGTAGTAGGTGTTTGTCAACGTGGAGACTGGGCGACCCATAAATTATTTGTATTTACAATATCCAAAGTACATTGATGGAAAAAACTAATTTTTAATTACCAATATAAAATATTTTAAGGTATAAATGCATAATGAGTACACTGAGGTACATATACAGCCTCATGAAGTTTTATGAACACATTTTCACCCATATGACCACCACCCACATCAATATAGAGAATATTTCTAGCTCTGCAGAAGACCCCTTTGTGCCTTTTCCTGGCCATATTACTTCCCCTGCCACAATGTAATCATTACCTGATATCTGTTACCCTTGGTTAGTTTTGTCTGATTGTATTTTCATGCTGCTGATAAAGACATAGCCAAGACTGGGAAATTTACAAAAGAAAGAGGTTTAATTGAACTTACATTTCCACGTGGCTGGGGAAGCCTCACAATCATGGCAGAAGGCAAGGAGGAGCAAGTCACATCTTACACGGATGGCAGCAGGCAAAAAGAGAGAGCTTGTGCAGGCAAACTCCAGTTTTTAAAGTTATCAGATCTTGTGAGACTTTTTCACTATCATAAGAACAGTACAGGAAAGACCCACACACATGATTCAATTACCTCTCACCAGGTCCTCCCATGACACATGGAAATTGTGGGAGTTACAATTCAAGATGAGATCTGAGTGAGGACACAGCCAAACCATATATCACTGATGATGAAAATTTATAAGAATGAAGTCATACACTATGTATTTTGTTTCTGGCTTCTTTTGTCCAACACTCAACCATGTTGCTATGAGTATCCATAGTTTGTTCTCTTTTTTTATTGCTTTGCAGAATTCCATTGTATGAACACACCATGATATATATCTATCCATTCTTTTCTCCGTGGACAGTGGGGGTTTTCCCAGGTTTTAGTTATTATGAAGAAAAGGTGCCATGAATATTCTTATACATGTCTTTTGATGGGACATGTGCACTTATTTCTCTCATAAAAATCCTTAAGAGTGGGATTGCTGGGTCATAGGATAGGCATATATTATTAAATTGTAGTGTATATTGCCAAATAGCTTTCTCAAGTGATTGAACAATGATGTATTTTAACTCATAAACAAAGTATATGAATACAAGCTAACTACTATTGCATAGTACAAATTATGCCATTTGTTTCTGATTTATTATTATGAATTTATATTTTAAAAGTAACTTAGGCACTAAAACTTGGCCAGCCCAAGTGATAATTGGAATTAAAGGTGAAAGGAGGTTGAAAAACATTTATGGTCTAAAATTCTACTTGAAAAATTCAGCTTTATAGAAAGGCATTAAATAAATGAAACTTTAATAAATATTGTCATTTGGCAAATTACTCTTTCCTTCAGAGTGCTGGGAATTAATATTTGGAGATTAAAATTAATTAATAGTAATTTAGAAAAATGTATTAAGAAACTTATTTGGCCAGATGCGATGGCTCATGCCTGTAATCCCAGCACTTTGGGAGGCCGAGGCAGGTGGATCACCTGAGGTCAGGAGTTTGAGACCAGCCTGGCCAACATGGTGAAACCCCATTCCTACTTAAAAAAAAATACAAAAATTAGCTGGGCATGGTGGCGAGTGCCATAATCCCAGCTACTTGGGAGGCTGAGGCAGGAGAATCACTTGAGCATGGAGGCGGAGGTTGCAGTGAGCCGAGATCCTGCCACTTCACTGAAGCCTGGCTGACAGAGTGAGACACTGTTGTAGAAAAAAAGAAAAAAAGAAACTTACTTGCCTTGGTCAAACAAAAAGGAATTATTCAAAGTAGATACATGAAAAAAAAATAGTGATTTGGGCTAAACATATTGTTCTGTTGAATAATGGAGTTTATTCCTCCTATGCCTGATAAAAATAACATCTTGATGTCCCAGGTTCATGCCATATTTTTATATTCATTTTTCTTTTGCTCTCATAAGGCCATAAAGTATATTTTTTCATATGACCAGAGAATTGTTTAACTTGCTTTCCCTGTTTTTTTGCTGCATCCAATTTATAAATTCTCTTGGAAAGAAGAAGATTATTTATTTATCTATCTACAAGGGAATGAAAACCACAGACCACAAATTTTCTGTGCAGAGACATAGGGAAATGAAAAACCCCACACAGAGGTCTCCTGTCATTTCCTTCTGAGTGTAAACTAAGATGTGATTTTGCTTTTTCTATTTCAGTTATCTCAGGGATCTCCAGAACCAATTGAGCCCAACTTTTTCACAGCAGATTACCACTTATCACATCATTCATCCAGTGGAAACAGCCTGTCCCCAAATGACCCGACAGGTAATATTGATCAACATGGGTAATCTGGCTTTCATGAAGAAATATATTGTTTGGATCAACAGCTATTTCTAAAAGATTATCTTCATTTTTTTTTTTAATGGAGCTTATTTTGATTATTTATGGCAATAGTTGGAAGGCACATATGGTAGGAATCTAGAAATTCCCTGAGATTTATCTTACCCAGTTGTGGCAGCTTCCTTGATCATTTATTAATATCATAAACAAACAGCAGAATCTGTGTGGGTGAGTTGTATTTCCTTTTATTTCTTTTCGCTTATCTGATGATGGGAAATCAAATTCCCTAAAGCATGCAGGGAGATAAAGAGCAGAAATAAAGAGTTTAAATATTCAAAATAGAGAAACCTTGAAACTCACCTGAAGAATCCACATTAGACACATTGAATTTTTTTTTTCTTTTGCATAAAATTCACATAGGGAGGCAGTATAGCATAGGGATTCAAAGGCACAGATTCTGGAAACCTGGGTGCCTAGATTCAAATCTCGGCTAAACCATTTAGTAGCTGACTATGGGCAATTATTTAACCTCTCTGAACCCCAGTTTCCTTGCCTGTAAAATGGGGATAAATACTTGCATCATAAGGTTATAGTGAGGATTAGAGTAAAAATAAAAAGTGCCTGTCTATTAGTAGGGGCTCAGCATAATTGAACTCTTCTTGTCATATCTGAATTCTAAGAGGAAGCTTTCAAGCTACTCTGAGGTTTCAGTACTCCTAAATAATTTTTTAATCTTTATAAACGGTAGCTATGCCACTTGGAGGAGTGGATAGAAGTGAAGATTTTACAGTTAAATGAAGACTTGCCATCTCTTTAGCTTGGAAAAAGTGCTCAATTTTGTTGTGCTTTTGTTGTTGACTGAATGAATTACTTCATGAATTAATTGACAAACTTTCTTTTGGTTTTCTTGGATAAAGCTAACTCCTATGTATGCAGAATTTTATTTAAAACAATCCCTGAGAAATCCAAGATAAAATGTTGTTTAAAGTCATTTGCTTTAAAAGCATTTCCAAGACAGGGAAGTTTATCTGCAGGCCAAACTTCTCCTCATCATAGAAACTCTGATGAAATGAAGAACTTTGATAAAAGTCTCTCAAAAACCTGAGGGTGAGTTGACAAACTCCTCCCAGGGCAGCTGGATGCCCCACCCCAGAGCTGGTTAGGTGTGACCCTTGTCACAGCAGGCTGGGCAAAAGCAAAAACAGCAGAGCCTGCCAGTACTGTGGGGAATGCCTTTAAAAATGAGCCACCAGTACTCACATTTTCATGTCTCTTCTTGACCCTAAACCCATTCTGTCTTCTCTACTTGAAGTGGCAGAGAGCTCCTGGGCCTCTGCATGTCAGTGTTGATTGGTTTGAGTGAAAGCTGGTCAACACGGCTTTGGGTGGCATCAGAGTGGGTTAAGGTGCTAGTGTACCAAACTCTGATCAACCATCATAAAGTCTGTACAGCAAGACAATCTTAAGCAAAAAGAACAAAGCTGGAGGCATCGTGTTACCTGACTTCAAACTATAGGCTTTAGTAACCAAAACAGCATTAACTGGTACAAAAACAGACACATAGACCAATGGAACAGAATAGAGAACTCAGAAATAGGACCATCCATCTGGAACCTTCTGATCTTTGACAACCCTGACAAAAACAAGCAATGGGGAAAGGATTCCTTATTTAATAAATGGTGCTGGGAGAACTGGCTAGCCACATGCAGAAAATTGAAACTGGGCCCCTTCCTTATACCCTATACAAAAATTAGTTCAAGATGGATTAAAGATTTAAATGTAAAACCCAAAATTATAAAAACCCTAGAAGAAAATCTAGGCAGTACCATTCAGGACATAGGCATGGGCAAAGATTTCATGACAAAAATGTCAAAAGCAATTATAACAAAAGCAAAAATTCACAAATGGGACCTAATTAAAGAACTTCTGCACAGCAAAAGAAACTATCATTAGAGGTTACAGACAACCTACAGAAAGAGAGAAAATTTTTGCAGTCTAACCATCTGACAAAGGTCTAATATCCAGAATCTGCAAGGAACTTAAACAAATTTACAAGAAAAAAGCAACCCCATTAAAAAGTAGGCAAAGGACATGAACAGATAGTACTCAAACGAAGACGTGGCAGAGAGCTCCTGGGCCTCTGGAGCTCCTTATGTGGCCAACAAACATATGATAAAAAGCTCAACATCACTGATCATTAGAGAAATGCAAATCAAAACCACAATGAGAAACCATCTTGTGCCAGTCAGAATGGCAATTATTTAAATGTCAAGAAACAACAGATGCTGGCGAGGCTGTGGAGAAATAGGAATGCTTTTACACTGTTGCTGGGAATGTAAATTAGTTCAACCATTGTGGAAGACAGTACAGCGATTCCTCAAAGACCTAGAACCAGAAATACCATTTGACCCAGCAATCCCATTACTGGGTATATACCCAAAGAAAAATAAATAATTCCCTTATAAAAATACATGCACACACATGTTCATTGCAGTACTATTCACAATAGTAAAGACATGGAATCAACCCAAATGCCTATAAATGATAGACTGGATAAAGAAAATGTGGTATATATACACCATGGAATATTATGCAGCTATAAAGAGGAATGAGATCATGTCTTTGCAGGGACATGGATGGAGCTGGAAGCCATTATCCTCAGCAAACTAACATAGGAACAGAAAACCAAACACCAAATGTCCTCATTTATAAGTGGGAGCTGAACAATGAAAACAGATGGACACAGGGAGGGGAACAACACACATTGGGGCCTGTCGGGGTGGTGGAGTGGGTGAGGGGAGGGAAAGCATCAGGATAAATAGCTAATGCATGCTGGGCTTAATACCTAGCTAATGAGTTGACAGGTGCAGCAAACCATCATGGCACGTATTTACCTATATTACAAACCTGCACATCCTGCACATGTATCCTGGAACTTAAAATTAAATTAAATGTGAAAAAATAAAAAGTCTGGCCAGCCATGGTGGCACATGCTTATAATATACAGATGTTGGAAAGCTGTAGGCAAGAGGATGACTTGAGCTCAGGAATTCAAGACCAACCTGGGCAACATAATGAGACCCTATCTTTACAAGATGATGATGATAATAATAATAATAATAGTAATAATAAACATTTTAAAAGTCTTCTGGCAATAAATATATTTTTTCCCTCTAGGCAGTTATATGAAAGGATCAGATCTTTGCTGTCTTTCACATCTATATCTGCCTCCCTGTAAGAATCCATTTTCTTTCTAATGTATATTTATTCTTCTTGGCCTGTGGATTAGGGAGAGTTTCTTAATCAGAAAACACCCATCAGGTAATTTGCATTTGGAATCACCCCTCAATTGCCCTTAACACACACACACACACACACACCTCTAACTTAATTGGACACTCTGAGTAATGCCCCTTAATCTTCGTATATCATTTTGTGATGGCCATGCCCAAGGAAGTCAGTTATTAAAGAAAGAAAAGTAAAACATTTGAATACTCAAAGCCAAGGCAGATGCTTTGGAATTCGCTTGTTCCATCTTTATCATTAAGAAGTTGACCTGTTTGCCCTGTGGTTGAAGTCATAATTGCCAGTAAAGAATAAGAAAATGTGAACCCAAATGTCAGACTTTCCATAATTTATCTTTTTCAGGCTTACCAACCAGCTTTGAATTGGAGGAAGGAATAACATACGAACAGATGCAGGTGAGGTTTTTGCAGTGTCTCTGAATAATTTTATTTTGTTGCTTTTAATTCAATACTAACCTGGTTTTTTAAAAAAAAATTTAGACTCTGATTGAAGAAGTCCTTGAGGAAAGTGGCTATTACAATTTTACATCTAACAGGTAAGAACTAGAGTTTACTTTCAATTGTGAAAGATGAATTGAGGTCATCAGATGTTAGATCTAATTTCTCTATCCTTTATTCCAGAGTTTTTTTTTTTTTCAAATTTCATTTTAAACACTTTTATAAAATATCTTTGCTTAGACTAGATACATCTATAAGTAGAATATATGTGCCCATCTTTTGTGTGGACACAGTTGCGGTATTCTCAGTTGAAACAAAAAAGGGTGATTGCTTAGTAGAAATGTATTCACATAAAAAAATAAACATAAGTAAATGGAAAAGCATTTCCAGATTGGTATTTTAAAAATTAAATATTTGTTTGTCTCATTCTAGAAGAGCTGAAAACTCACTCCTGTCACTTAAATCTACCCACTATTTGCACAGAAGGCTAGTGACAAAGTGCAACTGAACAAAGAATCATTTCTTGTGAATTTAAGATATATTTGTGGAGAAGAGACTCTGCTATTATATGTTGCCATTTGTTTACCCTAAATAAGAAAACTCCATTTACTGGAGCTGTATGTTATCTTCCAATATACCTATTATTGGTGTTCTAAGAATATAGGCTATTTTATCAATTGCATCAATTTTTATAATTTTACTTTTGGAAATAGTGTTGGCACAACAATTTGAGTATGATTAGTTTACTAAGAAGTTATTCAAGAAAAGTTTTATAATCAAACAAATTAGTATTGTGGGTGATTGGAGCCTGATTCCACTGGGGAAATCTAAGAGCTGGTATAGAACATGTACCAGGGCCATCCCACACAAAAGAGTGAGAGAACTGGGGTATTTATCCTCCAATTTCCATCAGTCATTGTTTAAGGCCTTTCCCTAGGAAGTGTTAATTCACTGTTTTTTTTGTTTTTGTTTTTGTTTTTGTTTTCTGGCCTTTTGTAAATATGAACAAAGAAGACTCCAGGGGTCAGATAAATCCTCAGGAAAAGAAATGCAGGTATTTCTTTATCGAAATGCAGGCATTTCTTTATTGAATTCCTTTATGTATTGGCAGGTAGAAATCCTCCAGCATGCTTTGAAGTGGAATAGATAGGGGTATGGGCGTTTACAGTGTCTGCTACACAGGAGTTGTCTCTTGACTTACCTAAGGAGCCTACTCATAGCTGAATCATCAAATTGATTGCAAGTATCCACACACACACTCTATATAGGCCACAGTTGTTTTAGGAGGCATAGTCCTTTGGAGTATATTCTCTCAAGTGGTCTTTTATGCCTGGAGGAACTGCCTTCCTTTTCAATTATTGAAGCTATTTTGTGACCACTATTTAAATTATTCCAGAAGTCTTTACCAAAGATGACTACTAACAACGGGAAAAGAAAGAGGGCTCAAGAACATTCTGTTAAGGTCATTATATAGAAATTAGATTCTTTTTTAATGTTAGTTCAGTCTCCAGTGTTTCTTCTCCTTTTTCTTCTTCTTCTCCCATTTCAAGGAGTTTTTCTTATGAATCACAAGTAAAATTATTCAACTACTTGCTCTTTTGACTTGATAACAGAGTTTCAAAATACTAAACTTTATAAATGTAGTTCTGTTGTGATTTGTAACTCCAGAGGAATGATGAGTAATTCTCATTTTCTAAAGATATATCATTAATAGAAATTACCATCTCCACAACTACTCTCCTCCCACCATCCCTGGAGAGATTTTTGAATTTTCATTTTCTATTCAAGGGCTGAGTATATACAGCCTTTCATGAATAGTATGAATGTTTCTGTTTTTCACTCTGAGCCTTATTATTTCAGGTGCCCTTGGCTTGTACTGGGGCAAAGATCACTCTTGTCATTTTATCTGCATTTCCTCAGAGACTTGGGATCATGGGCAAGGAATGTCTTCATATTTTTTGCAGAAAATCATTTAAATATCAAGGAAAACTAAGTGTGCAAGGAACTTAAGGAAGCTCTTACAAGAACTTTTATTTTCCCTTTATTAAAAAATATTTAAGTCTTATTTTGGAATTTATCATTATTCTTTTTCAATTCTACTTTCATTAGGTTTTACACAGATCTAGTTCCAAAGACACACTGCTTTATTAAAAGACACGCAAATTTTCTTGTTATGATAAACAGATAATAGGATGCCTTATAACAAAGGCAAAAGATTATTCAGTTATATTTGTAATTGTGAATATAATATGAAGGTATTATATTCATACCTTGGAACAGTCAAGTTTAAGCAATATAAGTTGGGTATTACATTAAATTTCCTTAAAGTGCTCTAAATTAAAATGAATCACATTTAAAAACCCATATATCCATGGTATTCCCTTTTTGGCTTCTTTCTTTCTTTCTTTCCTTCTTTCCTTCTTTCTTTCTTTCTTTTTTCCTTTCTTTCCTTCTTTTCTTTCTTTTCTTTCTTTTCCTTTCTTTCTTTCTTTCTCTTCTTTCTCTTCCTTCCTTCCTTCCTTCCTTCCTTCCTTCCTTCCTTCCTTCCTTCCTTCCTTCCTTCCTTCCTTCCTTCCTTCCTTCCTTCCTTCCTTCCTTCCTTCCTTCCTTCCTTCCTTCCTTCCTTCCTGAGATGGAGTCTTGCTCTGTTGCTCAGGCTGGGCTGGAGTGCAATGGTGTAATCTCGGCTCACTACAAACTCCACCTCCCGGGTTCAAGCGATTTTCCTGACTCAGCCTCTCAAGTAGCTGAGATTAACAGGCGCCCATCACCACACTTGGCTAATTTTTGTATTTCTAGTAGAAACGGGGTTTCTCCATATTGGTCAGGCTGATCTTGAACTCCTGACCTTAGGTGATCCAGCTGCCTCGGCCTCCCAAAGTGCTGGGATTAGAGGCATGATCTACCGCACCCGACCCCCTTTTGACTTCTAATAGCAATGATAGAACACATCTTGGGAGAAAACTTTCCAGAATTTGCTTGTAAAAATAACCCTTGTTTGTGCCTAAAGCCACTGTTTGTTTACTAGTGTTCCAAAATAATTCTCAAGAAATAAGTCAGGCTTAAATTAGAAGCACCTAATAATCCATAAACTGTAAATAACACATAACTCCAAGTACAAATCAGATTATCTGGCACTGTCATGCTTTTTTCCACAGTCAAAGGATGGAGGATGCTAAATGTCACAGCATATGTAGAGGTATTTAGAATCAGTATTAAGAATTAGTAGACTGCATTTTTTCCCCAATAGGTTTCATAGAATGGGCAATATTATCAAAGATGTCAATACATAGTCTCTGAAAAATAAAGTTTCATGGCCACATATATTTGGGAAACTCAGAATGTACAATTTTTTGTTTTTGGAGAAAGTTGACACCTATTACTATATTAAAGACTCTGAGATGTACTGTAGGAAAGAAATCTGTTGACCTTGTTTGTTGACCTCAGTGTTTTCCTCACTCTTTACATGAACACAATTGAGGAAAGCTGTTTTAGCTATGTGGCTGGAAATGGGGAACACTCTTTTCACTCCTTTACCACGGTCTACCCAGATCTCTATTGTTCTCATTGACGTGGTCATCGTTGTCATCATCGTCATTGCAAAATTTGTTCTTAAATGAATTAAGCACCATGCCAAGAAAGTTACATACATAATTCCTGTCTTCTTCAAGTTTACAATTTAAGACTATCAGTTTGAATAGTACACACATCATCTAGCCAGCCACTCACTCAAAGATTAATTCAAGAGAAGGTACATTTTTGGCTTAAATTATGGGTTTATATTTAGTTAAGGAAGAGAATAGAGAGGTGCCATTTTCAGACTGAAAGTCTCAGGATAAAGCCATTATCTATCTGTTAGCTATCTTTAAGGAAGATTTCTGGAACTGTTTAAATCGTGAGGAGACTTCTTGGACAGTTAGGAAGAATGTCTCAGGCATAAAATGCTGCATTAGGAAAAGAAAATGTAACTGGAACAGAAATAGCAGCAAGGACCTGACTGAGGTGGGGTATTTCTCATTTCTGGGCTTCTGGGAAGAAGGGAGCTAGGACTGAGTTGGAAGCAAGAAAGCTATGTAAAGAAAATTAAAGAAGGTCAAAAAGCCTTGGCCAGCCTCACAGCTCTTCCCAAAGCAGGCTCTATTTTTGATCATTTGCATGATTGTATGATAAATTACATTTCACATACATAAACATTTAGCTTGCTTACCAGGAGGATACAACTTAATATGCCTTAATTTTATCATTGTTGTTTGTGAGGATAAAATCATCCAAGTTATGAATAAACAGATGATGAGCATATCATGTTTATGAATATACTTGAGTATTACATTAATATTTTATTTTTAATAAAATATATGTTGAGAAATAACAATATACAAGATAACAAGAAATCTACATTGAATCAACTTGAATTGCTTTATTTCCCCTATTGACTGATGATAAGCATGTAAAATGGTTATTTTAACCTACACAGGTATTCAAATATACAAGCTACTTTGAATGAGTATTTGTTTTTCTACTACAAAGTGTTATCAGTTCCTATTGAGTTCATAATTTGAGAAAGGTCTTGTTAGCACCAGACTTCAGGCAAAGGCAGCTTTCTAAAAATGTTCCCATCCTAACAAAAATAATCATCTTTTTATTTACTGTAATTTATTTACTCTTATGCCTGAGCCCCAGTTTTTGAAATTGAATGTATGAACTAAAATATTTGTAACTATAGAGAATTCTTTCCACTTCTGAATCTTATAGGTATCATTCCTATCCATGGGGGACCAAGAATCACCCAACCAAAAGATGAAAATGCTGCATTTTGAGTAGACTTGGTTTTCTCAGTGAAGTTCAAGTTCTGGACTTCAGCCACTATTGCAAGATGCCCAAGGATTGGGTGCTGCTGGAGGGTGTGGAAAAGCCCAAGATGCCGTGGGGCCTGCAGGACTTCTTTCTGGGGGTCCTGTGCTGGAGTATATGACAGCTGCAGTGCCTGAGGGCTTCATTGCCAGAACGCATTATATACAGGATGGCAGAGCTGTCAGTGTGCTGCTGGGAGGAAATGTTGCAAAATTCATCTTTGCGGGGGTGGGGGGAAAACCCAAAAACAACAACAAAAAAAACGCTTTTACAGAATTTTCCTCAACATTAAAAAAAAAACTTGTCATATTTTTCAAAGGCACATTTAATACTCAGAATTGCTAAAAGTATATTTAAAGGCATCTAGCCTTCCATATGCAAAACATATTTTAGATAAAGACAGTTACAGGACTCAGAATAATATATGGGGTGATTCACTGTATCCTCCATTTGTATCTTTAAAGAAATTCAAAATATGTGATTGATTTTTTTTTTTTAATGGACGGGTTGGTTCTCGCTTAACCACTTGGGTGCTGGTGGTCTTGAACTGTGATACAGTGTAGACAGTATTTGTAACCTTGCACAGCCTCTGGGGGCAACTGTCAAACTGTCAGATTTAAGTTAGACTAATAGAATATATTGCTGTACAGTGTGTGTATATGTACATACATGAGGGTGGAAGAAGAGAGGTGTTGATTAGACTAATGCTTTGCTGCTCATCAAACTTAGAGTATTTTTAGAGCACTTTGAAGGGTTCATAGAATCTATGAAAAAAATGCAATATTCCTCATCCTAAATCCCTCCTTATTACAATTACCTAAATTGTTTATGAATTTTTATTGTTTGGGAATTTGAAATGAAAATAAGTTAAATCCCTTTTTTCCTCATTCAGACAGCTCAACGAAAGAGAAATCAGAATGCCAAACTGTGTATCATCCTTTATGCAGGGAGAATTATGATGAAAATCTACTAGATTCTCATTGGGCTTAAACTCCTTCTCTTCAGTCAGCTTCTTAAAACTCTGGTGTAATGACAAGAAATGCCCTCATTGCCAAATCTGTCTACACTTCTAGCTACCTAAAGAGCAATTTATTCTACATAATTAGTAATCTGAAAGTTGAAATATACTTTTTATTTACTTTTCATGGAGTTCTGTCATCTTTGTTTACATTGATTTTTTTTTTTTAGTATGATTGAATCGATTTTAGTTCAATATATTTACAGGGCTTGAAAGACCATAACCTTCTTTCTGTCTAGTATGAAAATCTACACTATTTTTTAAATAAGCATATTTAATACTTAAATTATATCCAAATTCCCTTTAATCATGCACTAATGCTTTGAAGATTGTCAATGGATCTTTCTTTAAGCCAAATTAATAATTACAGATACACTGTAAGGTAAGATAATAGATGCAAATACAGTAATGGAAGTTTCAGTTTCAGCTTTCAAACCTATTATCCATATGTAAAATTCATAAACAAAATCAAAATGCTATGATATTGATTTACCCAGGCAAAATTTTATTTCTGTTCCAAGTTAATTTGAACCTGCACTATAATTCTTTATATCTTTCAATGTATGGAAGGGGCACATTTCTTCATGCAGGAAGCACAGGCCTAGAGAGGCACAAATTCTAATTGTGGGGTGAGAGTTTGAAATCAAGTTCTTTCCCAAATGGTAATATATAGTAAACAGAATTTAGAAAAGAATAGTATTCAAAAGGCATACCATAAGAGAAGAGAAATGGTTTATTTGAAGGTGCTTTAAAGTGCATATAGTTGGCTTATTTTCCATGTAACTTTTTTTTTTTTTTTTTTTTTTTTTTTAAGACAGAGTCTCTGTTACCCAGGCTGGAGTGCAATGGCGAGATCTTAGCTTACTGCAACCTCTGCCTCCTGGGTTCAAGCAATTCTCCTGTCTCAGCCTCCCGAGTAGCTGGGATTACAGGCGTGTGCTACCACACCCAGCTAATTTTTATATTTTTAGTAGAGACGGGGTTTTACCATGTTGGCCAGGCTGGTCTCAAACTCCTGACCTCAGGTGATCTGCCCGCCTTGGCCTCCCAAAGTGCTGGGATTAGAGGTGTGAGCCACTGTGCCCAGCCATTGCTTGTAACTCTTTTAGGTGATAAGAATGGGTATTTATTATGCTAGAAGTCAGTGAAAGTTAAGCAGAAGCTCTCCTTTTCAACAACAGCTTCAGGCCTATCAACTCTATGTGGATAGATGTATTGTTTTGCTAAAAGTATGGATATGCTCTATTTGAATTCTCCCTAAACTACCACAATCACTGAATCTACATTTTCCCATGTCTCTAAGAGAAAGTCAGGCAGTGGCAAAAGCACCGTTTTGTACATGGAGTCACATCCCAACAGTGAAGTTAACTTTTTAGAAGCCTTTCTAACTCAAATATGGAGCACCTCCCCTCATGACCAAGAATGATCATTTTGTTTTGATTCTCCAAACTGTCTGTTAGTGCAAAGGAGTTGTTACATGAACTTAATAGACCTCCTAATCTTTTCTTGATTGCATTTATTTATTTTTTCCCTTTCTCTTGTATAATTTTTAAAGATTTGTTGTGCAGTGAAATCCCTGTGAATGCACCTAATTTCCGTAACTGAATATTTGTATGGAATAGAATGTGAATCAGTCTTTTCAGATTACTTTTGAAACACAAATGCTTCCGTTAATTATGTTTCGATCCACCAGCTCTTTCTGAATTATGTGTACTTGAAACCTTAATTTGCTTTTTAAAAGCAAAATGTTTCATTCTCAGGGAAGCGACTGCAGCAGGAATATTTGCTTGCTTGTTGTTAACTTTGTTTTCCTCCAGGCATGTAGTCTTTAAATGGAGACTTCAAGGGAATAATAACATGGACATTTGGACCCACTACTTGTGGGTGAATTTCAGAAACCTAGAGAAATGCTGCTTGTTTATTGTGGACATTTGTGTGGCATTAGGCAGTGTTCACAGAATGGTTCGGCATTCTAAAGCAGAGCACAATTAAGAAACACTGTTATGAAATTTACTCAAATGGTATAATTGATTAAAGGTTAAGGTCTTCCTATAGATATCATCTATGACTCATTAAATACTGTGAATTTTGATGTCCAAAAACAAATATATGACTGGTTATGTACAATTCCAGAAATATCATTCATTAATCACCACTCATTTTTAAGATGTGTGAAGACTGTAATATTGGCTACTGAATTTTGTCAGTATTAATATGCATAGAACCCACATTCCTCTTTTTGATTTGATGTATTATAAAATGTATGTATTGCTATTTCTCTCTTTTTTTGGAAGTAGTGAGGAATCATGCACAGTCAATATGCTGGGCTCCTTTAGAAATGACTTTAGGTTCTGTCTGAAGGCAGGAAAATCTTCTTTTTAAGGAACTTTTATCATTTGCCTTTTACTTTTTCTATGATGGTTTTCATGAGCACTGAAATCACTTGGAGAGGCAATGCAAAGAAATCTATCTGAAACAGCTTCTTGGCACCCTGGAGACACAACTATGAAGGGCTACAACATAAGGGAAGCTTAATGCTTCTGTATATTGACATTGACTCCTTGGGTGAAATTCTGTCCAAATATAAAATTCTTCATGTTCAACAACTAAATGTGATAAATGAATTTCATGTATACTTATATTATATCTTTGAGATTGTATTAGTTATCCTTTAGTGAGAATTGACAGGTTTGAGTAGCTTATTTTTTCAGTTGAACTGTGCTGCTAACAGTACGCTTACCCTTGAATGCTGTTTTTCATATTGATAGGAAGACACAAATGTCTCAGGGAAACAACTTTGTGATGAAGGAATTCTTATATGTGTCATTACAGTAAATTGCATCTTGTAAATATGACTGTTGTGGGTGATTATAGTCCTGCTGTGATGTTGTTTTGAGATCTGCAAGAGGGACAGGAAAGATTTTATGAGTTTCATGGGGCAACTGATGGATATTGCCAATTTACATATTTTTTGAGTTCATGGGCAATAGTTGTTTTTTAAAAATGAAGATCACATACCCTAAAATCACAGCTGCATACTTGCTATGTGAGGTATACTAGATGCTTTATTGCATGTTTATAACAATTATCTAATAATATAAAAAAATTAAGATACAGATCATTGCATTATCCTAAAAGTAAATGAACTGTAGTCTTAATTCAAAACTGAATGTTATTCCTCAGAACATGAGAAGCTGCCTTTTTCTCTCCTCTCCTTTTGTACTGTGAAGATTTGCCCTGGCCCCAGCTACTGTATTTAGAGATAAGAGAAGTATGTGACTGTTTAAATGCTCTCATTTGGAAATAGCTTACCTTGCTTTCTCCTGAACAAAGATCAAATTTTGTCTTTATGTATGGAGGAGTATGGCTGTCATTTTGACAATCAACAAATCCAGATGGATAGTTGGAATTGATATGGTGAGTTCACAAATTAAAAATTAGCTGAAGTTTTTGCAAACATGTTAAAAACTGGTCCCATAAAACATGCAGAGAGAAGTTTGTGCCAGAAATAACAAACCAAGAGGAACAACTGCTTTAAGGCCTTAGCACCTTTAAATCAGACTGTGAAGGTCACTTACAAAATGATATTCTTAACCCATGATTTAGCTCTGCATTTCAAGTGCCATTTGAGTCAAGATTCTGAAATAGAATATAAAGCTTGTAAATGGCTATTAAATTTTAGCTAAAACTCTTGCCCTCCATGTTCTGTGTGTTTGCCTCATACTGCCGTGAATTTTGGAGGAAATGGAAATGGTTTAGGGATACTTCATGTCATGACAAAACACATGAAGTATTTCCATGAACCTAACCTTACTTTGAGGGAGGTTAATAAATATAAGTACTCAGAAGGGAAATCTTGACTTACTAAAAATTAAGGATAGATCTTTCATGGAGGTGGAAAAATCTTCAAATAGAAAATATGTTTTGAGAAGTCAGAGAGCAAGAAGAAGGCAAGGAATTGCCTAGTGCCCTGGTCATCCAGCAGGCTGCCCACTAGGGGGTGAGCAATGGCGAAGGGTAGCTCCGGAGCCTTCAGTGATTCCTGCTGCTGGGTTTCCCAGAAGGAGCTGACCAGATGCTTCACCAGCATGCAGCTATTGCTGGACTTTTAGCCAGGCACCATCACCAACAAGTTGACCACCCAGAACAGTAGCAAAAGGCTCCAAAGTCTCTTCATAACCTGCTGGCTGCTGGAATCCACAGGACAGGGTCCCTAGGAGGCATTCCAAAGACATTAGACTCTTCAAAGAAGCACTTTTATCTGCCATTAAGTGAGTGTGATTCTGCCCCAGGGGCTATGTTCCCCATCTTTCATCCATGGGCTGAGGCCCATTTTGTCTGACAATGCAAATTTTACAAGAAGTATATGTGAAACTGAAATGGATAAGTGCAGGCAGATTTGAATATACTTGTACTAGCTAAATTAGAAAAGAAACATTGCAAATTATTTTAGTTGTTTGCAAGCAAACCAGTTGATAATCAGGCTGTAGAAAGATTCTATTATTTTACTCTTCCAAACTGAAAAACAAAAATTATTTGAAAAACTTTTGGGTGCATTTTGCTTACTAACATTTAGTGGGTCAAAACAAAACTATAGTGCTTCCTGTATTCCATTGTTCCCAGTGGTGAGCTTGTGAGGATAAACAAAAACAGAGCTGTCCTCTGAAAGGAAGAGAAACCCCTAATCTCATGTTGCCCAGAGCTTCTGTTTTCTGGACAGCCCAGGATCCAAGACAAAGGCCTGTGCCCACAGAAGCAAAAATACCCTCAATGTGCTTTTTTTTCCTATTAGCCTCTAACAGTATCTTTTTGTTGTTGTTCTAGCACCCCTCCCATGTGGGTCTCTTCCCTGACACCTCTTCCCCTCCCACTATTCCTATCCAAGGAACAGACAGGGTTTCCAGCACAGAGCTGTGTTATTAGAGGGAATGAATGTTCCGTAGTTATTTAATGGGGTGTCATGTGGAAGGCAGAGGGAAGTACTTCTCTGCACATGATTTCTATCTTTCTAAAACCTCTGCAACACTTCCTTCATGAGCACACCTACTCTAGAATGACCTGAAAGTCGGAGATCCTCAAGAGAAGAAAAAAGAAATGATTCTATAAAAGATTTATGTAAGATATGCA